GGCGCGAGATGCGTTGATCGACAGCTCCGACGTTCTGGCATTCGGTGGGTATCTTTCCCGTAATTGCCGATTCGCTCGTTTCGGGTGGCAGTCAACCTTGTCTCGCGAGGCACTTCCCGCCGCTGCGTCTACGCGTCTGGTCTGATGAGCCCCATTCTTGATTCGGTCGTTTGCCAGGACTCACTTTGTACCGCGTTCCATCACAATATAACGCCCGGTCAGACAAAAGCAGCATACGTTCGAATCATCCCGGACGGCCGGATGTCACCAAAGCACCAAAGGTGTCTCAAATTAGTGGACGCAAACCAAACTCCTTCATGCTCACCGACTAGTTCGTCCACTGAGATATTACTGTCAAAATAATGAACACTTCGGTGATCACCTCAAGTCGCAAAGAAGATCACTAATTGAAAGCGGTTGGTCGAAGCGTTGACATATACAACAGATATTATACTGAAACTAAATTGTCGTATGTAAATCACCTGATCCGGTAGGTCTTCAGCATTGAGTGTAGAGGACAGGATACCCGTGTACTCCCCGTTACCACCATTTCGAACAAACGTGGTCATGTTTGCATAGCCCATTGACGTGTTCATCCGGAGGCCGCTGAAAGCGGTGCCAGTTTTCTCCTCCATTACACTCGCTGGAATGGAATTCCACAGCTTTGCAAACCACTAGAGTCGGTAGACTAATGGAACACCGACCTACTGAAGTTTACACAATCTGAGTGTCCCTGCGTGCATTACTATGTTCGTAGTGCAAAATGCTGCTGCAACTCGGGGTCCATATCCGCCCTCAGGATCTTCCTCAGGCAGATTGAATCTCCCTCCATGCGCAGATACACGACTGGGGATAGACCAGTAGTCGGTAGACGACTTACAAAACTGGCCCCAAGTAGTTCAACGAGTCTAGTGGCAGCGCGTCGTGCACGCTCCAACTTAGCCAGTTCATCGGCCGTGTAGAATATGTCGAAGGGCTACAATACTCAAGTCTCGATCTGATGTAGAAAGCTTGCAGAAGTCTAAAAGCGTCCATCGTGGACCGACTGAAAGATCTCCGAAAGGGATTTCGGAATGCTCTCAGTAGACCCGATCGGTGTGCTTTCGGGTCTTTAGTGAGGACGTCATCACAACTTCCAGGTCTATTTCGCAAGATGTTTTTCACAATGTGATTCCCCGGAAGCTGTAAACCACCTCGAATCAGCACGCCCAGGAGCAAGGAAGCGCACTAAACGGTATCGACTGGAAGGGCCCAGATGTCCGCCCAATGAGCCAGAGTGTTCAGATCTGCTTGTAGAATATTTCGATCCTCTGAACCCTTAATCATACGTTAGATTTTGATGTCATCCGCATACATACATACAGTTGACCGGGCAAGTCATTGACAATCCACAAGCGGGAGTGAACCAAGAACTAAGCCTTGGAGGACCCAACTGGAGGAGGATTACCACGTAGGTAGCGCCCTGGCAACACAGACGCAGAAATTCCGGCCGGTAACGAATTCTTGCAGCCATTTCATCGTAGTCTCACCTACGTCATGGATGGATAGCTTTCGCAGAAGGCGGTTGTGGTACTATGTCGAAGGCTTCGATGAAGTCCACGTAGATGATGTCCGTTTCATGGTTTTTGGCCTTGTACTGAGTCCAGCTAGGAGCAGGTTCGGGAGGCATGAGCGATCCGGACGAAAATCGTATTGTTGGTGATACAGGTGACTATGGCACATCAAATGCCACCGAAGCCGTGCAGTCACCAGTCGTTCCATTACTTTACCTACTACATTAGTAAGGCTGACTGGTTGGTAGTTTCCAGCGTCACTCTTGTCTCCGCCTTTAGGTGGTGGCACTATGACAGCATCCTTCCACTCCACGATAAACGTAATTGTATGAAAGACATTGAACGAATTGCACAAAAGCACTGCAAGTTCCGTTGACAGCCCAATGTATGTAGCGACGTATCAGCCTGGGGAATACACCGAGGCAAAATGCGATGCCAACATCGCGGCGTTGTCCCCGTCGTTTTCAACAACTACCTCATCTTTGACGAGAGTGGGGGGGAGGGGCAAAGTAGTTCTGATTCGGCGTCTGAGGGAGGCATACAGCCGCTTTGGTGCCTGTACTGAATCCGGTACAAGGCGTTGCTCGAACAGAGTCTTTTTGCACTTCTTCAGTGCAGTAAACTGGTTCCGAATGACTCGATATTTCTCATATCCCGTGCCTGTTCCACGATACCTGGACCAGGCTTTGTTTCGCTGCTGGAGACATCTCCACAGTTCCTGATCAAACCACGGCATGTGTTCGGTGGCGGTGGGGTGGACAGAATTTCTGCACGAAGTGATGAATCCCGTGACGTACCAACTCCCAAGATTCATCCGCATCCCATATCAGGAGCGCTGCAGGTTGACGCATCTCCGGAAAGGACGAGGGCCACACATTTCGTCCATCTTTTCGTTTGTCCGTATGTGGTACATGATGTCACCTGAAGGTGCTTACAGAAGATGCCAGATTAGCACAATCAAGCAAGAAAATCACATGTCCGATTATCTTCAATCATACTGAAGTATATTGAGGTCAATAAATTGATTTTTCATTTGGTGTGTATTCAGGAAATTTAAACAAATAGATGAAAGGAAAGCTCACTTTTCTTATTTGTGACAAATGGCGTAGGATGCTGTCCTGACGTGGTGTTGGCCGTTCCCGAACAAGGTCAGGATTCAACAGAGGGTCCTTGAACAAAAAAGAGATGAAAGGCACGGGAAGAGTTGTTACAAAAATGTATCAACTGATACTTTTGTATTCGAAACAAAGACAGACATGAAACCAACTGCAATGAGAGATAACCATACACGCACTGTTTGGCTTTTTCTGTCAGGTGATTGATCCTTTTCCGTCCGAGGTGTATGCCTTGTTCCCGTTAAGGTGTGCATCGATGATATCGGTAGATCACCATACAACGCAGGATTTGAGGTCTGGATGAGGGAAGGCAAATAGCGAAGTGTGATCAGTTCATAAATAAATTTCACGAATACCGAAACCGAAGTGTAGCGATAGGTTAGTGCCAACTGACCTTGAGATACGCCTCACGAGCCTGTGCACTGGCCGACGGTTCTCGACTGACAGACACAGAGGTGTGTGCATCGAGCGGATTGAGCACATCGTGTGTGCGAACCAAATCGAGTGAATCGAAAACGACCCGATCACTGGGTCTACCCAGATACGGAGCTCCACCGCGCNCGCACACAAATATTGATGTCCGATTCCGATAATTTTCGTTCTGGCCGAAGCTGATTTGACTGACGGTTAGCTGGAATCCGAAGGAGTGCGAAGAAAACAAGAGATCGCAAAACATAGACGACCTGATAGTTTTTCTTGGATCAGATACCACCATCACAGAGAAGAAGAATAAGGGTTGGACACCAAACAGTAACTCTACCAGGTATCCATAGAGCTGGAAAAATTAAACACTTGGACATTTGACAACCCAGCTGCTGCGCACTTTCTACATCGCATTCATACCACTACTCCAATATAGACCAGTTAAGCTTGTCCGTTGTTATCACCGAATAACAAGTATTGCCGAAAATGTGTTTTCATCTATTTCAACGTGATTGATGAAAAAAACCATATAATATTACATCAGTATCCTACTGGATTATGTGATCAAAAGAGACGAGTTACAAATAACTATGCGCCAGTGATCGAAGATAAAATAGAACCATGAAAGTGTGACGGTCAAGCCCAGTTTACGTTCAGAACTACATACTGATGTATGCGTGCTTCAAAGAAGTAACCAAACGCGTTCAGTAAAGGAGTTTCTTGTGAGGCATTAGTCGCTCAGTGGCTATGAAGCCGTCAACTTCCAGTACAGTACCAGTAACAATGGCAACGGCTTAGTTGCATTCTGTGGCGAATGCACGAGCCCTCTGATCACATATCCTACCTCACTCGCAAATTTACCTTGTATCTAACCTACTCTATCTTTCAGTTACCTCATCTACTAGGCAGGAGAGTTGTCGCCCCAAGCGACCGACCAACAGACCCGATGGTCTGATATCTCAGTCAGAAGAAATACTCGGTGACTTTCAACAACCACGTTAGCCTTTCAGGATTGCAAAATCCAACGTGCGCACGCCAATGAGCATAGAACAATGAACATCCTGGAAGGTGTTGATGCCGATATCCATTATATCCAAGATGCGTACAAAAGGGCCCAGTCAGATAACACGGAGCAAATTCCACCTCCAACTGTCTGGAGAGAGGCTCCACTTGAAACTTCCCCGTTTAGTTCCATGCCAGTTACATTGATGTATCACCAACGACAAGAGCTCCTTTTCGAACCGAATAAAACGCGAAAATCAGTAAATTGTTGGGAAATAATCGATGGCCAAAGAGGAATCAGGATGAAAATCCACTAGGGAGGTATGAGCGTCTCATTTTAATGACACATACATTTATGCCCTTCTCAACAAATTTACGAGGAGTTTTCCTTGGATTACACTAAACATGCAGTACGGTTAAATCTTTCTATAAGAGAATAGCGGCAATTTTTCTGTGGTCTTATTTGAATAATACCTTAATGTTTTTTCTAGAGGAAAACCCATTGACGTAATGATTCGGTATAAATTCTGGTCCAATAAAATAATCGTCTGTACACAGACGCTACATTGTTGAAAACACGGAACTCCCTATGATTTTTGACGCAAAAAAGCCAAGCAATTTTAAAGCGTTCAACTAAAATAATTTTGGTAAACGTCTAGAATAACCAGTTCCGGCTTTTTCTGCGATTAAAATAACACCTACACACTCAAGAAGATTCACATAGTTAGTTCGTTTATTCCAGAAAGTTCACCCAGCAGTATACGCAGCCGTCACGGTGTTCTGAGGCCAGCCGCGTTCCACTGATCAGTTCATGTGAAGCACCTTAGAGTGCGTCTGAAGAGCTCATGCATGTTAGTGCTTGTCGTCACTCGCTGTGAAACGCCTGTTTAGCGAATCCGGATTTAAGCTGGAGACGAATGCCAGAGTAGGGCGGTTGACCTCGAGTGAGGCGAACCTGGGAGGTCCTTGAGGACCAGAATCCTAACGCTCGGAAAACGGCTGTTGGCTGTACGTTGCGACCACCACCAGTTCCTCGTCAGTACGAACTTTTTAACATTTTGAGGTACAGATTAGCTGGTCCCCTTCAACACAAGACTATTCCCCATTCGATCCAACTGTGCAAATACTGCTAGTTGACATCAGTCCTCCATCTGAAATGGAGGTTACCCGGGAAATAAGTCACCTCAAACAGCAAAAGCCTTCCGGCCCCGACGGGCTGCCCCCATCGGCTTTTAGGAAGGGAGGCTCAGCCTTCGTTTTGGAGTTAACAAAACTCCTGGGCTCAGTGTAGGAAAGCGAAGAGGTTCCAGCTGAAAGGTGTGAGTCGGTGATCATACCGACTGACAAGAAAGGTGATAGGTCCTCTTCTGAAAACTAAGGAGGAATTATTTTAATCAACATTGCCTCTAAACTTCTCGCCGGTATCATACTCCGTCGATTGTCTGTCGCACGTGAACGATGTAAGCGTGAGAAGCAGGCCGGTTTCAGACCTGGTCGAGGCTGTATTGACTACATCTTCACACTCCGTCAAATTCTACAACACAGACACTCCTTTCGTAGACCCACCATTTTTATTTTCCTCGATCTAAAAGTGGCTTTCGACTCAGTCGACCACTCTAAACTCTGGCGCTGCCTTTCCGTGAAGGGAGTGCTCGAGAAGTTTATTTCAAAATTACGATCCACAATATCTGATCCAAATTTGGAACGGATGTTATTGAAGTAATTGTGCGTCATGTTCACAGCAATAGATCCGTGAAGGAAAACGTTTTCCTCGACGGATCTAAATATTACANGCCGAGGCCGAGATCAAGCTTACGACAGTTTTCACCCGAATTCAACACGGAAAGTGGTGATCGACAGGGTAGACCTCTCTCTCCTTTTCCATTTAACTTCATCATAGATTCAATTCTGGAAACAACCCTTCCCTCGTGCAAGGATAGCGATATAGATTTATTTCCGGCTAGCAGACTATCTCATCTGGAGTATGCAGGTGACACTGTGCTACTAAGTGATGATCCAGGTAAGTTGCAAGCTTTGCTGCATAGTTGCAGTCCAAGTGTTGCCAAGTTCAGTATGCGTGTTGCACCTTCAAAGTGTAACATGCTACCACAAGATTGGATTGATCCAGCACTCAGTCGCACATAAACTGCAGAAGAAGTGCACGAAGTAGACAAATTTGGCAATTTGGGTAGTTAGATCTCATCTCAACTCTAGTTAAACTTGGTGAATTAAGGCTTGTTAGGGAACTACAAGTTTTGTTCTCTAAAGTTTGGAACACT